AGCTTAACCAAAAAACTGCTTTTGTAGCACAGAAGGCAAGTTTCAGAGCCTTTATAGAAGCTCTTATCTTATAAACTGTGCTTCCTTAATACCTTGTGTATTTGCCCTGCTCAGCCTTTTGTTTCCATGATGACACACCCTCCTTCCTCCTCTCCCTCGCCCCATGCTACAATCCCTTTTTGTGTGTTCCCACTAGGCACGTTCTGTCCATTCACTGAATGGAGATGGGCACGTGTGTCCAGCTCTGCCTTGACAAATGTTTGTGTGCGGGTTCTGGGCAAAGAGAGGAAGGAGGATTGAAAGGCTTTGCTTTCCTGTGCACAAAGGCCACTTTTTCTTTTTCTGGGTTGTTGGTTTGTTGGTTTTTTTCCCCTCTTTTGCGCTTTGTTCTCTGCTACTCCGCTGCACTGCTGCAGCTTTAATAGATACTTTGGGAATATGTTTGTAGGCTAGTCCTGTAACTGAACAAGTCTAGGAGTGCCTATCAGTGTCCTGTCCCTTTTGTTCTGCTGATGGAACCTCATGAGTCAGGTCTGTGTGTCCAATTTCAATGCTGACAAAAATAAAGAGCATTTCATTATTGTTATTAGTTGTGTAGAAGTGCTTCCTGCTGTGATGCCTTTTAGACACCCCCTTGGCTGTTGTCCTGTGGAAGGAAATAGATTGAGATTTTTGCCTCCTGTGCACTTTACTCATTGGATTAAGGATAAAGTTGAAGCTTTCTTATAAGAGTGGGTAGCCTTAAAAATGAATTAATACATGGGGATTAAAACCAGAGAAAAAATTTATTTTTTTTTAATCCTGTTTGGAAGTAACTATTGGAATAAATGGATTTACTGGTGGAGGTAAAAGGAAAACTTGAATCTAGAAGGTCTCATTGTACATTTACCTTTTGAGTTGTTGAACTTTGGGGATCAGGTAATTAAATTTATGAGCCAGTGAAGAGGTTAAAGTAAGTAGTAGGAGATACCATCCTTTAAAAATGTTGAAGTTCCAGAAGGAGTTGAAGGAGTTGAAATTCCTGTATCACCTGGATGAGCTTGGCCATGGCCTTGTGTCTCCTTTTTCCTCATCTGATGGTGTTGCTTCTGAGTTGTACATACCAAGGAGTGTTTGTAATTTTGCATCATAAAATAATGATGCACTTTTTTAGTGTAATAGTAAAATAGTTAAACTATACAAAATTACCTGGGAGAAGGAAGATTCAATCACCTGCTGAAGAAGCAGCTCTGCCTTTAAAAGCAGATGGATTTGTGCCTCTCCTTTGGGGGTTCTCCCAAAGCAACTGCAAAGGGAGGCCGAGTCTTGTCGCGAAGCTTACAATCCCCTCCTTCTTGGTATTATGTCAAGTGATGTCTGCGTCTCTTGCAGCACAAGATGTGAAGATAATATGCAGCCTTCTGCATAAGCATTCTTTTAATTGCAGAAAATGTAACTTCCAAAATGCCAGGTGGAAGGGGATCTGTGGGGATTCCTGCGTAGAAATGAGCTGAAGAGAGCAGTGCTGGGCCAGGTGTCTGGCTTTCATGAGGATATTCCCTGTGTCACATCTGGTGCCAGCGTAACTGCTATCCCTAAATGATAAGGAAGCTTTGCAGTCAGGGGAGGGCTGAGCTGTCAGGTGAGCCAGGGATCAAGAATTATTGTGATGGTTTGATGGCATGTGAAGGATGCTGTGAGGTACAGCATGGTTCTGATGAGCAGAGGCTCAATTAGGTTCTCCTGGATTGTGGGCTGTCATGCCGGGCAAGCGGGACCTGTGTCATGCTGTGCATCGGGTATGAGGAAGTGTTCTGGTCCGTCAAACGTAAAATGACAAAATCATTTGTAATCTCTCATTACTAATCCCTGGGGTTTTTATGTCTACACCTCCCTTGTGGCATTATTCAACAGCTGATTGCTTTTTTTTCTTGTTGGGTACTTAAAAATGAAGTATACTGTTAACGTTTTTAGGAGTTAAATGAAATCTTTTACTTGGAACTTCATAGGAAAGAAAAATATGCCAGTTCTTAAATATGGTTACTGATGACTAAGCAGCCTTTGCTAATTATTTGCACTTGATTGCAACTTAGCACAGGTAGGTGCAGCCAAAGTTCATTATAGACAATTCTTCTAAGAGGTGAGGTGATTTCTCCCAGTAAGTAATCAGCTTGAGAAGATGTTGCAGAAGGCACGTAACTATGTGCAAAATTTTTTCCCTCTAAATTATATAGGTGTGGAGTGTGACTCTATTTATGTATGCAAAAAAAGGCACTAACAGGAGGGAAATATCCCTGACTGATATCCCCCGACAGGATGCTGTCTACCTACAGTGCACACGTTTAAAGTTTGCTGGGGGTAAACAGCTATTCACCTGTCCCCTCACGGGATTCACAGTACATCGACTCCATTTTGTCTGCGCCACAACACAGCGTAGTGCAAACATCGAATGACCTTCCTTGTGATCTCATCTAAACCTGGATCTGTACCATAAAGCCGTTTTTCTTCTTGGTGTTGTTCTGAACACACATCCTCTGTCCTCTTGGCTTTCTGGTGAGGCCTGAACTGCCGTGGGGACACAAGGACTGGGAACTCTGGGTTTGCCTAGTCCGGGTGTAGACCTCTCATTGAATATGCAGTACAGGTTCATGTTTTAAATGTCTGAAACCTAAATCTGTAATCCAGGTCTTCTTCCAGTCATGCCCTCTCTTCTCCCTAATATATTAATTTCATATGAAAATATTTAGTATATTAAAGAAGTACTTGACCATCTCTTTTGTGCACATGCTGCAAAATGGGGAAGGTTTCTCGAAACTTTTCTTACAAGCGGATTCCCATGTGGTGCCTGTTAGTCACAGCTAATTACAGAGGCTGGTGAGTGAAGAATATATGGGAGCTCAGGTTCCCCTCCTCCTCCCGCAGTGCTTCAGAAGAAAATAAAATAAAAAAACTGCAGACAAATCCAGGTTTTTTCTGTGGCTCTAGTCTCCAAAGAGCTCCAGAGAGATCACAGATGTGGTTTCACATTTCAGGTTTAACTATGGTGTAATAACTACAGTATTATCTGCAGGAGAAATGCAAGTGGGGAAAGAATCATTAATTGACAGTGAAAAGTTCAACCTATGCACTGTGTGTTTGTTTTTTTAAGCAGCTGAATGTTTAGCCAAACCATATTTTAACCTTTGACTACAGCCCTGAAGGTTATGATAATCTTGATATGTTAAAACCTAGGAGCATTATAGGAAAGGAAATTTAGATATGTGTTTCAGAAAGGTCAGTGATAGAAAAGCAAAAACATTTAGCTGTTTTAGTTAAAGCTAAGACAAATGCTTTAGTTTTAATTCAGTTGCGTACAAACCTCCTGTGAGGTATGCTGACCTTATTTTACAACATATGAACTCTGAAGTGTTCCAGTGGGTGCAGAGTAAGCCCGCAGTGAGAGGTGAAGTTTTGTTGCTGTGCACACAAGGAACCCATGCTCACATGAAACATCTAATTTTCCCGTCTTTTGTTAGTGTTCATCCAGCATCCAGGAAGTCTGCGAGGTGGAACGAGTTCCTATGTGCGTGTCGTGTGTTAGTTCAGTAGGACTACATGGGATATGGCTGTTGTTACTAAGGCAGCAGTGACCTTCTTGCTCCTATATTAGCAGCGTCTACTGTTTTCCCATGCTGCCAATTGTCAGGAATTCAAACCTTACATATAACTGGGTATAATCTACATTGTTCAAATTTTTGTCTCTGTAAAACAAAATACTTTGATTAAAAAAAAAAAAAAAGATAGAAATAAAACTCAAACCTTTCCTTCCCCCAGTTTCTTTCCTTTGGAAAATGCATAATTTGGAGGGTGCAGGAGGCAGATTACATAATGAAATGATGTAGGACTCTTACTGAACTCTCTCTTTTTAACAGGTATACTTTTCTTTAAGGTTGGTTTGTGCTTGGTTCTTTTTCCCCAAATTTTATTTTTTATTTTCAGAACTGCAGTGCACAGAAGACTGCAGGGGTAACTTGAACTTGCAGAAAGATGGCCCCAAATGGCTATATATTGCTAGGACAGGAGTATGAAAATGAAGCAGCCCAGTTTGAATCTGTTGCCTGAGCTCTAGAAATAAACCACATGGATTAAAACTCTTAAAATTAGTACAGTACTAACAGCAGTATAAGAAGTTGTTAGTAACAGGTGTAAATATTATAGTATCTCTTCAGAACAATTGCTATGTGGACCTACCTGATATGGAAAGGCTTTATTATAATAGACCTGCATCAAAATGATTTAATTTGGCAGATATACATTGAAAAAGTATTCCTAGAAGGTCCACTTTTCATCACTACGTGCTTGGGTTGATGGGTAAACCAGTGTCTCAGAACAATGCTATGCTGTGGTGGAAGAGGCTAAGGATCTCAATTTTCCTTAAGAAACAGTAAATACATTTTAAATTATAAGATCTCTTTAAAAAGTCATTGTGATGCTAAACATTGTGTGATCAAGATCTCTAGGAGGCTCAAGAGTTCAAGGCCAAGTTATTTGACAGTGTTCTGATATTAACAGTGCTAAGGGGCAAGTTTGAGTTTAGTGAAATACCATAGTGCAGATGGTGCTTATAGCCACAGCCTCATACAGCTTTCCTGTTGAACTGTTACTCACCAGTTGTCTTGTGCTGTGACAAATTGTCTCCAAAAAACTTCTGAGAATTTTGTTTATTTTGCTAGGTAACTTGAGGTAGGAGTTCTTATGTTTCAACATCTCCAAACTTCAAAAAAAAGCTTTAACTTTTTTTTCCCTTTGTCTCTTGTGGATAAATGCCCCCAGAGCTGAACAGTCTTGAAGTATGAAAAGAGCATAGGATATAAATCTAAATTAAAACATATAGATTAGTGTATGTATGTATCTGAAACCCTTCAAAAAGGCTGTCTGGAAGTAATCTCTGAAGCACAGAAATGGTTTTAATTCAGAAAAACTGGAGAAGGGAAGATATTTTTATTTTACACTGATGCAGTTCATTTTATTTTCCCCCAAAGGACACCCTGGTTTAATGGATGGGGCTTTAACCTACCCAGAGGTCAGTCTTTGCTAGACAAGTGGAACCTTATTCCTGAGGGAATTGATATACTAATGACACATGGACCTCCCCTTGGTAAGTAAAACAGAAGCTGTGTGTGATTTTTTGCACGAGAATTTTACTTTCAAAATAAGCAAAATTAATAATGCTATAAGCTATACTGTAATTGCACCCTAACTCAAAACAATGAATTTGTGGAAGAAGTGTAAAGTGATGATTAGGCTTAGCACATCTGTTGAGCTTCCAGGTGTTTTCTTAATAAAAAATCTAAATTTTCTGTTAAACTCAAGCTGGGGAAGATCAAATATCTGACTCCATAGCCATTATAGTTTGACATTTTATTTAAGAACAGTTTTCATCTGACAAAACAGTTGCCAATCCCATATGATTTTTCAGAGATTGACTGAAACTTTAAAAAACATTTTTCCACTACAATAACATGTTTCCTTAAGGTTTTAGAACAGTCAAGAACTCAGGAGTATGTAGTCACATACTCTCCTTGATAATATCCTTGTAAACAGTATGTAACAGTAGTTTTAAAGATATTAATTGGCTTATAGCAAATTTGTGAAGGAATGAAATTATGTTCTCAAATACTTGTTCCTTACTTGAACTAATGACAGGTGAGCACAAGTACCTGAATGCATACCTTGTCTTTTCATTAAGTAGTTGAAGTTTTTCATTTAGTTAAATTTTGCGTGCCTTGTAAATGTGAGTAATTCGCTGATCCCCATTTTAATTCTAAGTTCTAAACTAAGTTCTGATGGTCTCAAAAGAGACACAGATGATAATTCAGCAGAGGCAGGAGTACTCAGTTTTGGCATATTTAAAAGCCCATACTTTTATAATTTTTTTTTAGTTTAGCCACATGTTTTCTAGTTTTCACATATGAAAATTCCCAGTATTTTTCCCTATCCTGTGCCCCACAAGATAGTATTGCATATTATTTACTGCTTTTCTTCAAGATCCATGTGGCAAGCAGTCTAGGACCATTTTTAAACGTTTCAGTTGGTTTTATGACAATTGAGCTTCTGTTTTTATAAATATGGCTTATCAGGATAAGAAAGTGTGTCAGCCCCTTCTTCATTACCACTATTGTTAGTAGACTGTGATTTTGTCAAGGTTTTAGTAAGCTCTTGAAATCACATGATAACATGAAGTCACTGACTTTTGGGATGGTAGTGAATTTAAAAAAAAACCCAAAACATTCCCAGAATTGCAAGGTGACATTATAAAACAGCATTTAAGTGCTATGAGGCTGGCTCGTGCTCTCCTAGAGCTTCTCAGTGACAGTGGAGCCAGGAATTAATGCATGCTTATGTTTTGTATCACAATTAAGTCCAGAAAGTGTTTGGCTATAAAAGGAGTGGTAAGTACATTACTGGTCAGACAGACACTCTTTTAATACTGCTTAGAGATTGTTATAAGATGATCTGCAAATTCTCTTTAATCTTACTAGAGCTGCCAACGTGCTGTGTTGATAAAGCAGTGATACACCATCCACTGACAGTGAAGTGCACCGGATATTGAAAAACAACGCTTTGAATAGCACTCTTTTAATCTCTTTATTTTCCCAAAGAAGCAAAAAACCCCACAAGCATGTTTATAGTGTTTCATGGGTGCTATTTTAAATGGATTGCTAATCCATCTGCCTTGAATTGGGTTCATATAGAAATACTGTGATGCTGCAGACGCTAATGAGTGCTTTAATTGAATACGCGTACTTAAATTTTGGTTCTGATGGGTATAATGAAGTTCAATTTCACAGACCAGGTCCTAGTACTGTGCGTACAAGGATGGGGTCTACGTCTTAGCCTGTGTTATAATATTGACAAAATATTGCTTTTTAAAATATGTAAATATTAAGGGAGGTACAGCTGTAACTGGACTCTTTGTTCTCTCCAAAATTCTGTCAACTTCATGTCACAACATGTTTTTGCTGCCTGGGATAAACTTGGCACAGGGTGTAATTACTTTAAAGTCGGTCAAACAGTGCTGCAGTTGGATGTGGCTCCTGATTTCCCTTTTACTCCTGCTCGTTCATCTTGCCCTGCTGATCCTTATCAGTGCTAGTCCAGACAATGGACTTCTCCAATAAATGATGTCAAGTTTTTGCATTTTTCCATATTACCTGTAGGACCGAGTTGCAGTGTGGTCAGTTGGAAGCTATTTTGCAGCATTGCTTGTTGTTGGTGACCAGGGACTCAGAAGTAACCAGACATTTGCAGGCTGTGGTCCTCTGGAAGTTGTGGGAGACTGTATTTTAAATCTTTGGGGTGGCAGAGGTATTGGGTTGTAGATCTGCTGAATTTCCTGAGATATTTTGTTTCTGGAGTAACCATCCAGTTGTCTTGGGAAGCTGACTGCTGTAAGAGCCAGGAGAAAGGGAAGAAAAATCTGCAGCAGTGCCGGGAATAAATGTTGCAAGGCTTCAAGCTGGAAGATGAGTTTAAACCTATAGTGTTGGGGTTTTTTTAAATCACATCCAGAGTAATATTAATGCAGATGGAGGGAGGAAATCTTCAGGAAGACAAAGTGACAGTGGAACATTTCTTAAAAGCCATTGTGTGCTTTAATGGAGAGGTTATGACTACAAATAATGTAATCAACCTTCTGTGAATTATGACTTCCTGAAAGACTACGTGAAACTTTACCTGAATAGAGAAAATTAGTAGTATTGATTGCATTTTGCCTTTAGGTTTTCGAGACTGGGTTCCAAAGGAGCTGCAAAGAGTGGGTTGTGTGGAACTGTTGAACACGGTGCAGAGGCGAGTAAGACCCAAACTCCATGTCTTTGGTGGGATTCATGAAGGTAAGGAGCAGTGCTACTCCCCTCTTTGGTCTCAGGCTGATTTCAAAGAAGCGCGTTTCGATGGTGCATTGCAAAGGCTGGAGAATGGCATATTGGACTAAAGTAGAGAGGGAACTGAGGGGAGCGATTGCATGCACAGCACTTTGTAAATTTATGCCAGAATTAAAACAGACTTTTTCAGGAATGTGTTCTACATTTATCCACCTACATATTTCACTGTGCAAAGGTTGTTCTATACAGGTTATTTGAAAGCAATTCAAATTTTGGCAAACTTTGTTAGAGGAACAGACGAGATTCCCCACACTTGCAAGCCAAAATGAAAATTATCCCCATTATTCCAAGCACAGGAGCCAAGAGAGGTGCTAGGGGAAAAAAAAAAAAAGAAAAAAAGAGAAAAAAGAAATTGAAGACAACTTACTGTCTCAGCTCACTTCCCTCAGCGTTTAAGGAAAAGCAGAAAGGAGAGCATCTTGAGTCAGACATCAGGAGGCGAGAGTGCCAGAACTCACTTTGCATACATTTCTAAAAGCATCCTTTAATACAGTTTGTACTGTGCATATTACCTTCCAGCAGTCTCATATTCTAGGAGAGATATTTCCCCACTGTCAGTACCAGATCAGGCAGGATGTGAAGCATCAGAAACAATAAACTCAGTTTGTGGCAGTGGAAGAGACTGAGAGATTAAATCTATTTTGGAGATACTTAAATATTTAATACAATTTTGTAGCTTTCATGTGGCTGAGAGACAACCACTAGGAGTTCTGCCTGAGAGAGAGTGTAAGACTTTGTGACCCTAGAACTCAAAATTACACATTAAATGCTTTATATTGTCGCCCCTGGAGGTTTCTCCATTGACTCTAATTAGGTTCTCCATAGGCTTAAAGATTTGGAGGACTTCATAAAAGAAAAATAAAAAAAGGGCAGCTTTCTCAACTAGTGTTGTTGGTTTTTCTGAAGCCCTTATGACTTCATACAATGAGTTTTATGCCTGGTATCTGTAAATAAAGAGTTTATAATGGAAATACTGACATGACCTTAAGTATAATGGCATGAACAGCAGTCTTAATGCACCCAGGAAAGACTGGATGTTTTATGTAAATATTAATCCTTGCATATTAAGAATAAGCAGGACTTACAGCTAAAACATGTAAATGGTCTACAGCCTTTGTGGGCACAGCGGATGGTGAAACTTATAGTTGTAATAGTGTTAAGTAATGGGTGAGGAAGGTATTTTAATGTACAAGATCATTATTATGAGAAAGTACCAAGGAAACATGTGCAACACCTTACATTTTAATTTCATGGGAAAGATGGTAGAACATATTAAAAGTGAACACTGGAATACAAGTTAGTATTCTTAGAATACTAACAAAAAACTTAAAATCCTGTTTAGTATTTATACAGAAGATATAAGAACGGCTTGTTTCAGTACAGCAAGAAATAACCAAGTATCAAGAGTATTATTTTACAGTGCAATTAATTCTCATCCAGCTCCAGCTGAGATGAACATGCATCACATTCCATTAAATTGATGGAAGCTATACACACATTTCGGTGTTTCAGGTTTTTTTTCCTGGTTGATAAGCAAGAACAACTGCAAACAAGGTTTTTCCCACCATGAGATGATCTAAATCAAAATTGCCAGTCTAAATAAATAAAGTAATACAGGCGGACAGTGCAGCAATTCTGAAGTGATTATTCTTTCTGATAGACACTGTGGGTAGCTGTATTTATCTTAGCTTTCAGACAGCGGTGATCTGTACTGTATCATAATGGTTTAAAAGAAAAACATTTTTCCCCTGTGGGTTAGTGATGGGAAGTTCTCTTCCTCCATAAAACTCTGATTTTTTTATTTTTATTTTTTTTTAAAAGTACATGTGGTAACAAATTCTTCCTAGATTTTTTCCTAGCTTCTTTGTTAGCTTTCTGTGGATGTCAGCTGAAAACAATGGCAAAGCTTTCTCTCACCTTTTGCACTGGTGAAACTGGAGCCCCTGTCTCCTTATACTTGAGAGAATTGTCTGTAAGAGGAGAGCTTCTGCCTTCTCAGTATCTCTGTGCTTTTGTTATAATTTGTTTTCTCACACCACATTTGCTGAGTGAAGGCTCAGGTATGACTCAATTGATGGGTCACTATAGTTTGCTCCACTTTCCCAAAATTACTGGAATGCACGATGCTCTGTTATGTCCCCTTCCTGTGTGGCACGTGGGAGAGAAGAGAGAGGCCAGCAGAGAAACGGCATTGCTGCTGGTCCCTCAGGCGCACTCTGTCCGAGAGCACTGCTGGCCAGATGTTTGGAAGGTTGAGAACAGTCTGCAGCATCCTGAACCTGATGCCATAGTGTTACTGTCAAGTCCTTGTCATGCTGAAAAACCTGTGATTAATATTTGCCACTTCTTGCTTTTTTATTTGGGAACGAGTTATCAGGATCCCTTTGTAATGAAAAGCATTCATCTATTTAACCTTCACCTCAATTTTCTGTTTAAGCTAGGGGTCATCCACTGACCTCCAGTGCTCTGTTGTGCTTATAGCAGGAGATTTCCTTTCCTTAGTCATGAATTTCGCTGGTAGATAATGTACATAAAGTAAATATGTATGTATGTATGTATATCTGTAGCCTGCTAATGAGTTTCTGAGATTTCACAAGCCAGTGTGAGCACCAGCTTGGCAGACCTGTGATGAGTAAAAGGACTAGCATGGGGAAATGGTTCATTGCCCAGAGTGGGGGCTTCGTAGGCTAAACCAAAGTTACTTCTAATCTTTTGCTCCTGATGATGTTTTTCCTATGACAGACATTACAGGCATGCAAACTACAGCTCGCTAATTAAGTAATTAGGAAAAGTACATGCGTGGTTTTGTCTCTTTCTGCTGTATCCAGCTGCAACAGAGGATTTTCCATGGGGGAAAAAAGTTTGTACATAAAACAAAAGTATCAGTTCTTATTTGAAATATAGTGCATTGTATTTTTTTCAATCATGCTTTTGTGGCAGCTTTCAAAAACTTGAATTTTGAAGGGATTAATTTAATTTTATTCCAAAGCATTGATCCCACAACAAGCCTTCAGTGCAGCAGCCCATGGGCAGTATCATTTGTTTATATTATAGTAAGTGTGACATGTTCTCCCTACAGGTTATGGCATTATGACAGACGGTTACACAACCTACATCAATGCTTCAACGTGTACAGTCAGCTTTCAACCAACCAACCCTCCAATTATATTTGACCTTCCAACCCCTCAAGGATCATGAAGCACTACTGCACATTTGGAACTGGGGAAGGTCTATAAACTGCCATTTTCTAATTATAAAACTTACATTCTGTTACATGTTTATTTCAAAATTGGGGGGGTGAGAATTTGGGGGAACCATGGGGTTTTTTGTTTTGGGTTGGGGTTTGGGGTTGGTTTTATTGTTTTGTTTTGGTTTGTTTTTTTTAAATTGCTGGTACAAAAGAAACAAGAAGAAAAGTTAGAGGTTGTGCTTTTTGGAAATGCAGCATTCATTTTAAATTGATAAAGCATTGTGAATTTGTAAAATGAATTTTGTTTTTCAATAAACTTGCCATTGTAAATTGTTATAGTGTTCTCAAAAGGACAGCCAAGCTTTCTTTTAATAAGTGAGAGACCTTATTTTAATATTATATTATAAGCTAAAAAATAGGCAGCATTTAAAAACACCCAAGTTTGCACAACTTATGTTATTGTCGGGGTTTTTTTAGTGTCTTCTTTTTCCCTAGGTCTAAGTGTTAGCTTTTCATCTTCATTTATATATTTTTTTTTAGTAGCACAAACAATATTTTGGGGTCCATTTACCTCTTGATATGTGTGCATGTACTGAAACTTGCTTCTATTAACAGTAGAATGCAGCAAGGGGAGAATAGACTTCTCAGTTGTTTGTCTCTACCTGCTTTATACGTTAAAGACTGATACAGATAGCCACAACCTGTATGTGATTATCTACCTTTTATTGTTTGTTTTTAAATTATTTTAGCTTTAAAAGACTGGGGGTGAAAGCTGCAAAGAGCAGGTATTTCATGCAGTAAAAAAATTGTAAATGCGGACTCCTTTTAAATATGAATTTATATATATATGTATTTTTTGTGCATTATAACTAAGCTAGGATTTAATATTGCCAGTATAGCATCTGCAAAATTATGCTGTACAGCACATCTAAATTATGAATGATGTGACACATTTTCCAAGTGCTCAAGGCCTTCAAGAGCCCGAGTTAAATCTTTGTTGTAGTTCAGGCATGTATAGAGTCAAATGGATACAATCAAGCCTAACTAAAATAAGGCTTAGTTGTCCTTTATATTTAAATATTCTTCTTGTCTTTTTATTTCCTTTTTCTTATTTTGCACTGTGTGTAAATGCAATCTCGCTAGCACAAAATATTGTCGCAGATAGTTATTTCTGTTCTACCACTGTAAATGCTATTGAGCTTTGTTCTGTTTTATGTTACCTTGTTAATGGAATTTAGAAAAGCAGTTGTTTCTTTAAATTTATTGTGATATTATATCTAGCGGCCTTTATATGCAAATAAAATTGCGAGATTTTTAAATATGTGGTTTAAGGGAATTTTGCATTTTTCTGTGGCATTAGCAATTGGGGGGGGGGGGGGGGG